TAATTGAGCTGACATGGGTCCCATGCTCCGCACCACTGTTGCCACAGGCTCACCTGAGCAAGATTCCAGTGACCTGGAGGTCCCCACCTCCCTGTGTTCATGAACCAGCCCTGGCACTTAGAATCTTTTTGCCTCCTCTTCCACAGTGGTCCCTGAACTGGGTGCATGAGATTCCATACAGGAGTCCCATCATGCACTCTATAGTCTTATTCTCTGGCCAGTTGTGGCTTTCCGTGTGCATTGCATGCACTCTGATGTACATGGAAGCCTCACTGGTGAAAGTTGAGTGCATTAGCCTTTTCTCTACCCCTTATTCCACTATGTTCCATGAGCCTTAGTTGTACAGATTCGACTGCAGATGTGTCACCTAGTACTAGGGCTCTTCCAGGTGTATGTTCTCTGTGCCTGACCAGTTATGCAACTCTGCAGTAGCCTCCATCTGTTGCAAAAAGAAGCTTCTTTGATGAGTGTGTTACAGCATGCTTGTCACTCTGAAGTCTCTTCTATCTGGCACTGCATTCCTTACCAAGCTGCTCCCAGGTATACATATTCATTAATGTTCAGACACTCTATGTGCATTTCTCATAGGGTCTTTAGGGCATCACTTTTCCCTCTAGGTTTCCTAGCCCCCCCAAGATTAACTCATCTCCAATCTTTTTCTCCCAACTGGCTTCCCTCCTCCCTTTCTTCCTAGTCACAGTGCCCCTATTATCCCTACCCTCCCCCCAGTACCCCCCGCCTCCCGTCTCCATCTTTCCTCTTCTGACTTCCCTCCCTCCCCCACAGCATGGTCCCTTGCATGTCCCTCTCTCTTCTCCTCCCTGTTTATTAGTGTTTTGCTTGCATGTATATAAGTGCACCTATGTGTGCAGTGCCCAAAGAGGCCAGAAAAGGGTGTCAGATCCCCTGGAACTGGAATCATGCACAATGTTTGCTGCCATGTAGATGTTTGGAACCAAACCTGGCTCCTCTGCAAGAGCAACCAACCAGTGCTCATAATTGCTGAACCATCTCCAGCCCCATGTTTTACCTTTCTTTTAGTCTTTTTGGTCTTTTTGAGACAGGGTCTCCCCCTGTAGCCCCAGCTGGCCTGGAACTCACTATGTAGATGTGGCTGAACTCACAGAGGTCTTCCTGCCTCCGCCTCCCAAGTGCTGGTATTAAAGACATTTTATTGTTACATCTGCTTTCCAAATTACAGCCCCTGTTACAAGACCTGATTTCAGTTTGCCATTAAAAATGGCAAAATAGATGAAAACACAATGCTTTAAAGAGTTGCCATCTTTGATTCATGTGATTCTGTCACTAAATAAATATCTAGAAGTCATGCACCAAAATGTGTAAAACAGGTATGACCCCTGCTGTCAGCAGAATTAAAGCCTAGAAAAGTTTAGACTTACTTTAAAAGCTAACATTGTGTTTTCTTAGTTGTAATGACTTGGGCATAACTTAAGCATATACCTAATTTAGGCATATTAAAATCATTCAAATTTAAGACCCAAGAATTAAGCGCCTGTTTTATTTTTAATGGCAAAAGTCTCTTTGCCTTTAAATAAGTCTAAAATATCAATGCCTACTACATTTTTTAATGGATAGTCTTTTAAACCAGTGCATTCTCGAACAGTTTTGGTTTTTAAGTTTCTGGGAGAATTAAGCATTATTTTGAGTGCCTCAAATTATGAAAGCTAACATTGTTTACAGCTTCAAGTGTCTTTTTATAGTTTCAAATAAAATAAATGTCTTCCTCAAGCTGCCGAAAGTTGAGTCAAGAGAGCTTTCTGTATAAAGTACCTGGAGGACCTGAAGGAGTAGTGTCAAAGCCCGGCACTTAAACTTGGAATACTCAGTTATCTTAACAACTACATGAGGGAGTTACATGCTTACATTACTTTTATCTGTTCATTTCATTTTGACTGAAAGAATTTATTTTAAAGATAATATTTTTTAAAATATTCTGTTTATTATTTTTATTTTATGTGTGTGAGTGTATTGCCTGCATGTATGTGAGTGCACCCATGTCGTGCAATGCCACGGAGGTCAGAAGAAGGCTTCGGATTCCCCTGGAACTGGAGTTAAGGACGGTTCATAACCGCCACGTGGGTGCTGGGAATCAAACCCCAGTCCTCTGCAAGAGCAGTCAGCTCTTAACCAGCTCTTAACCGCTGCGCCATCTCTCCAGCCCCGATACTTAATATTTTTTGTAATTCCTCCTTTTTCCTCTATTTAAAGCTATTTAGAGTTTTGTTCTTACTCTCCTTTCCTGTAAATTCCATAAAGGCCAGGAATTTTAACCTTTGATTCTTTCTTCTCCTAAGTTATCTACAGTATAGGATAAGCTGTCAACTGGAAGAGTGAGTGAGTGGGATGTTTTTGTTATAAACTGCACATACAGCCAGGTGTGGTAGCACATGCCTTTAATCCCAGCACTCTGGAGGGAGGCAAAGGCAGGCAAATCTCTGTGAGTTTGCGGCCAGCTGGGGCTACAGCTATCTCAATAAATAAATAAATAAATAAATAAATAAGTGGCACATACATGAATTTTAAAAATCTACTTTGCTGATCTCTGTGTCTCAACAATTGCACCTATTTAGATCGTATTTATTATGGTTACTAATAACATTTTTAATTATTCCTGTCAAATATTTTGTTTAGTTTTCTGTATCTTTCCATTATTTTCTCCTAACTTGCCCTCTAGGATTATTTACCTGTTTTTTATTTCTCTGTTTTAATTTGAAACTTCACATTCTGTTACGCACATTATAATTTAGAAACTGGGTATGTGATTTAGAAATTGCATCTTCATTCCTTTCAGTAGTAATACCTAGACATGTCACATGTTGGAGTTGAAGAGGTTTTAATGGAGATTTAAACAATCTCTTAAGAGATAGGGAGACACAGAAGGACAGTAGTGCGCACCCAAGTGTGGGCCTGTCAGGAGAGAGTCACTTTTAAGTTCACGTGTGTATTTTGCCTAGCATCCTTTTAGGATGTTCTCTGTGAACTCTTTAAAGACCTTGACATACTCCTAAACTTTCCACTTCCTATATGTCATCTTGCAGTATCTCAGTCTCACTTTGCTTTTGGCAATCTCTTCTACTCTCCCACACTCACCATTTTTTATTTTTAGACTGTGAGGCTCAGGTTAATTTATCATCAATTTACTTTTCTTTTTACAAAAAAACTCTAGTAATTATTTCAGCAGCTACTTGTTACTTACTGATAAATTCTCCCAAACTTTGGGAATGTGGTTTATTCATCCATACTTTTTAAAAATATTTTTTATTTTATGTGTATGCATGTATTGCCTGCATGTAGGTAAGTGCACCCATGTTGTGCAGTGCCCTCAGAGGACTGAAGAGTTTCTGATCCTCTGGAGTTACGGACAGCTGGCTGCCATGTGGGTGCTGGGATTTGAACCCAGGTCTTCTGCAAGAACAGTCAGTGTTCTTAACCTCTGAGCTATCTCTGCAGCCCCTCTTCCATACTTTTTGATTAGTTAGGAGAACAAATTACTCCAGTATCTTCTAGAATTTGTTATGTTTTTATTTTCTTCAATTGTGGCATATTTTTAGCCATATCCCTCCAAATCTTGATCTTTATTTTTCTCCACTCTCTCTCTCCGTCTGCCTCTGGACTTCCTTTTTATGTGTACAGACTTCCATCATTTAGTCAGTGATACAGTCTGAAAAACGTGCTGTGTAGCCAGTTCCCTTGTCATGCAAACAGCATGGAGTATACAGAGCTGTGTAGTATTGCTACTGCACGCTAGACTGATAAACCTACTAGCCTTAAGCTGCAAACCTTCATAGCATGCTACTGCACTGAACTCTTAAGCAGTTAAAATGTAATGGTAAGTCTTTGTGTGTCTAAACATTTCTAAACATAGGAAACAGCTGTGTTACAATCTTATGGAACCACCATATAGTCTGTTGCTGACCAACCCAAATGTTTCAGTATCTCTGCAGTCTAGGTAATATTCTTAGACTTATAGATTACCACTGTCTTGAACTATCTGATCTGCTATTTAAAACCTATTTGACTTTCTCACATCAACCTCCTCAAAAGTAGAATCATCTCAAGGTGTTTTTCCAATGGAGGGTCCTAAAAGACAAGGTTTGTACTGTGCAGGGGTGGACCCCAGGCATAGACACCGATTTTGATAGCTTTGTACGTTTTCCTAGACACTGTACGTTCATGCTGCAGGATTGATTGCTTGTTTTGTTTCTTTTAGATGAGGTCAGGAGTGTTTAGACTATTTTTGCTTCTCTTAGAAATCCTGGTAAAAATCCTTCCACAAAATATAATCTGAGAGCCAGGTGTGGTAGCACATACCTTTAGTCCTGTCCAAAGATGGGCAGATCTCTGTGAGAATGAGGCCAGTTCCAGATCAACTGAGAGGACAGGGAGACTCTATCTCAAAAAAAACCAAATTGGAGTCTGACTCTGAGAAAATGAAAAGTATATATCTAAAAGGCAGTTTTTACTTTGCAGTTTGAACGATTGTTAATATTCATGTGTTTCAAAGTCAATCTACCTATTGTGTTTATTATATAGGTCAAAATGTGTTCAACATACTCCATATTTCCTTCTAAAATATCTGTAAATTTTTCCTATTAGAATATTTCCTGCATAGACCAAACCTGTCACTCTAGAGGAAAGGGAGTTTTCCTTTCCCAGGGGCTGGTGTGAGAGCTACATAGTGGCAAGTAGGCTAATTACTAAGCTAGAACTTTTAGAAAAGTAATAGACTAAAAATACTGTCTTCAGTATAAAGTAGATTCAATCCAAACCGTAAATAACATTTTTTAGAGTGTGCAATATTTGCTTAAATAAAACATAATTTCAAGTTAAATTTTTTGACATTTTAAGTATTTAACAATATCTTTTGGGATTCCTGGCGAATTCTTGTCACAGAAATTTTTTATTTTCTTTTCCCAAGTCTACTCAAAGGGTAATTGCTATAGAGGGCGGACCCTTATGTTTACTAATGTGTATTGCAGCTCTATTGGTACATCAGAAGGCCAGAATGGAACGGCTTCAAAGAGAACTTGAGATGCAAAAGAAAAAGCTGGATAAACTAAAATCTGAGGTCAATGAAATGGAAAATAATCTAACTCGAAGGCGCCTGAAGAGATCAAATTCCATATCCCAAATACCTTCAGTAAGTCTTATATAACAGTTGTAACCTCTCTGCTTGAACAGGAGACTAGGCTGTCTGCCACAGTGTAAAGACTTGATCTAGTTTGCTGCAAATGCTCTTAATTCATACTTGTTTTTCTGTCCTTACCTTCCCCTGCCAAGCTCCATTCTTTCTTAACTAATGACATGAGAATTCAATACAAATCTTTTTTACATGGAATTATTTTTCAGCTCGAAGAAATGCAGCAGTTGAGAAGTTGTAATAGACAACTCCAGATTGACATTGACTGCTTAACCAAAGAAATTGATCTTTTTCAAGCCCGAGGTAAAGTTCAGTGCATACTCAGCTGAAATTCATTGACTTAATCTGCCAGCTCTCTTCCCATGGCTGAGAACAGGCCTGTCAATCCTTCTCACTGTCTCAGACATTCAGCTTCAGAGCAGATAGTGCCAGAGAACAACGGGATTTGTATTCCCCCGCCCACAGAAGTATGAAGTTGGTTCAGGAGTAACCAGGTCTGTTTCATACCCTTGCAGTCTCTTGAGCCTCACAGGGAGGGTCGACAGTGAGCAGCACGTCTCACTGCATGCTCAGGGCTGTTGCTTCTAGCCATGAGACTCTGCTGCAGTATTTATTAATAGAGATGTATTCATAGAACTGTCCTGATTCCTTCTTTCAAGAATAATGTGCCCCCTTCTCACTGCTACTATCTTACTTGACAAAATAGAAAAGAACATAAAAATATAGTGTTATATTCTTAGGATGACAATGGATTTTTATACTTGCTACTAGTAACCAGCAATAGTTCTTAATGTAGAAAAAAAATGTTTACATTTAATTCAGTTCCATAGAAAACCTAAATAAAATTTTGTCACTGAAATCTAATTCTGAGGTTGGAGAAATAATAGAGTATATAAACTAAAAAAGATAAGAAACTAACAAAAAAAAAGTCTTTAATCACATTTCTGTGTATATTCCAGCTCTGTTAAAGTGAAAGATTACTGATTTTAACTTAAATTTCTTTTAAAATACCAATATGCTGTTATTTTAAGTTGTCAAATAGAACTCGGGGTCTGCTTCTCATTCTTTCTACAAGCACTAGTTTGGCTTCTTCCCCAGTTTGCCCTTGCCTCTGTTTATAAATATTACCTGATACATAGATTTTCAAATATGTTTTTGAAATTTTACATATAATTTGAAATTAGAGGTGAAAATAACTGAAAGCATTTCTTCTATTTTTTTGAAAGAAATGCTTTAAAAATAAAATTATTTTTCAGCTATAAATATTGATATATTTATTTTTTATATATTTCAGGACCACATTTTAACCCCAGCGCTATTCATAACTTTTATGACAATATTGGATTTGTAGGTCCTGTGCCACCAAAACCCAAAGGTTAGTGTATCCATTAAGTGTGAAAATGTTACATTTTGAAAAGCAACATTTTAGAAAATTTTTATTTTTCTCAACCTTCCACTCTTGAAATGCTTCAGACTTTGACATTCTGGAGTGGATTCATTAGGAAGATGTTGGTTTATTTTCCTTTACAATCTGGGGTTTGGGGAGGATGCAAAGGTATAATGTATTTAGCTTTTTGAGAGTAATGTTTGAGACCTTAGTCACTGTGTACTCCCAAAATAGAAAGTTTTGGTTTTTAAAAAAGTGCAAAAATTTGTATTCTTTAAGTAAATTTTTAAACAAATGATTAAGGAAAGCAACATAGAAAAGTTTTTCATAATATCATTCTTTAATTTATATATAATTCTGAGTAAATAACATGAGTTCCAGATGAATGGTTTTCAGAAAGTATTATCTAGAACCGTTTTGTAGCATTGATAGGCAAAAAGTCACAGAATATGTGTGCACCACATCAAGAAATGTTGAAGTACTCCTGTGTATTTGAGGCAGGCATTGAAGTATATATACAAATGGAATTGCATGCATAAATCTTCTGGCTAAAGAAAATATACAGGCATTCCATTTACTATGACACTGCAATCATGTGCAGAATTTACTGCTAGCTCTAGTATGAGAAGTAAAATTTATAAATGAACATACAGTATTATAAAAGCAGGTTTTGATGAAGGACACAAGACTGTGGCAAGGTGGGTTAGTGAAAATGTACTATTTTTTTGTGGATTGCAATTGTTAACCAACCTAAAATAGAAGGATATTTTATGCAAGCCTCCAGTTAACCACAAAGAAAGAAAAAACCATAACAGGTATACAGAAGGTAAAAAGAAAATTAAACAACTAAAAAAAAAAAAAAAAAAACAAACAAAAAAAAAAAAACTGTCAAATAACAAAGGAAGACAGGAATAAAGGAAAAAAGGACAAAAACTACCAAAATGGCAGAAACAACAAATGGTAAAAGTAAATCTTCACTTACCAATAATCGTTTTATGTGAAAATGGATTAAACTCACTACTCAAATGCGAGAGGAATGAGTGAGTATGGAAAGACAGGACCCAACAATACTCTTTCTAAAGGAGACTCCTTTTAGATTTAAGGACACATGGGCTAAAAGTCAAAAGATTTTATACAAGTGATAACTAAAATCATGAGTAGCTCTGTAATTAATCAGACAAAATACATTTTTAAGTCTGAAGCTACCGCTAAGCATGTAATTTTTATGTACATGAGGGGATAAGTTCAATAGGAAAGCACAAACATGTAGAGAACACCAAACAGGAAAGGAATAATGTTCTTCCTTCGTGCCCACGGAACATTCTCCAGGATAGACCACATGTTCTCAAAACTTGTCTCAACAAATTTAAGATCAAAATTATTCCAAGTATCTTTCAGCCACGGTAGAATGAAACTAGAAATTTCATGGAAATTAACCACTACACTTGACTGACCACTGAGTCTTTGAGGGAATGAAAAGAATTTTAAAGTCTCTGGAGAATGAGCTGGGGATGTATAGCTCAGCTCTGTGATAATGCCTGGCAAGTCCAAGGCACTGGGTTTAATCCCAGCACTCCACTTCTCCTCACAAGAATCTGGAGGAAAACAAAACCACAGAATGTACCAAAACTCATGAGAGGCTGCAAAAGCCATGCAGAGTGGTTACCGTATAGAGATAAATGCTTATGAGGGTGGGAGTGGGGCTAGTTCTCAACCTAACTTTATATACCTCAAGGAACTAGAATAAGAAATTAGGCCCAAAGTTAGTAGAAGGAAGGCAGTAATAAAGATTAGAACAAAAATATATCAGAGAATTTAAAAGCAATAGAAAATGAACATTTTTTGAAAAACTAAAACTACAAATCTTTAGGCAGACAGATTAAGGGTGGGAGAAGATTCCAATAAAATCAGAACTAGAAGAAACCATGACAGCAAATGCCTCAAAAATGAATTTTAAGGGATTACAAACAACCATACGCCTGCAAACTGAATAACCTCAAAGAAATGGATAAATTCCTAGAAAACCTGTCCAGACTGAATCAAGAAGAAATAGATTGTTAACAGTAAGGAGATTGAATCAGTAACCAAAACAATCTCCAAATATATGGGATTAATACTAGACAAAGACACTACAGTTAAGAGAAACTGCAGGTAGACATGGTAGCACAGGCCTTTAATCCCCAGCAGTCAGGAGGCAGAAGAAGCAGGTGGATCCCTATGAGATCCAGACCAGCCAAGGCTACATAGTAAGACCCTGTCTCAAAAAAAAAAAAAAAAAACAGAAGGGATGGGTGACGAGAGGCCTAACCAGTATACCTCATGAACATGGTGCATCAATTACTACAGTGTGAGCAGGACAGATTCATCAGCACACTAGAAGAACCATATGCCACGACCAACAGGGATTTATCCTTAAGATGCAAAAGCTGCTCAGCATAGACAGATTACTCAGTGTTACACAACTGATGAAACAAGACGAAAGAACAAGAACTATGTCATTTCAGTAGCTAAAAAGCGTTTAATAGAGTTCAGTATCTGCTCATGATTAAAACATCAAGCACTGTGGCACCCGTGCACCAGGACGCATGCATGCACACATACATACACACACACTCAATAGATGTGTAAAAGGAATTTAATCTCAGCATAATAAAGGCCATTTTAAGAAAACCACACAGATAACCTCGTAATCAATGGGAGGAAACTGAAAGGCTTCCCGCTAAGATCTGGTACAAGGCTAGGATGCCCAACATCTCTACATCCTTTCAACGTAGTACACAGCCCTAGCCAGAGCAGTTAACACAAGAAAAAGAAACAAAGGGCATCTGAATCAGAGCAGAGGAAGTGCAGTTAGCCCCATTTGCCAAAGATGGGGTCCATATGGTCATCTCCCTCCATCTGCAGGTTTGCTTTTATGTATATTGATTAGCCACAGTTAATCACATTCTGAAAATATTAAGTGGAAAGTTCCAGAAATAACTTACAAATTTTAAATAACCTTTATTAGTATAGTGTTATAATCCATTTTATTATTGGTTGTTATTGTTAATCTTTTATAATGCCTAATTTATATTTATAAATTAAACTTTATATAGGTATTTTTATTTGGTTTAAAAAAAACATACATCAGGTTCAGTATTATATATGGTTTCAAGGATTCACTGTTAAAACTAGTCAAGTTCAGTAAAGTTGCAAGATACAAAATCAGCATACAAAAATCAACTATGCTTCTGTGTATAGTGAACTACATACAAAGAAAAATACAGAGATTAGGGAAACAGTTCCAGTCATATAGCAAAAAATAAATACTTAAGAATAAACTTCACCAAAAATTATAAAACACTGAAGAAGGAAATTAGCAAAGACATTGCATGTTCATTTATTGGAGAGATAGTACAGTTCAAATATCTATAGTACCCAAAGTGATCGACAGATTCTATAACATCACTGTCAAAATCATAATCGAATTCTTTATAGAAACAAGAATAAACATCCTAAAATTCATTAACAGGAAAACGCTAAATTATCAAAGCTATTGAGACCCCCATTCTCCTATTTCAAAATAGATTACAAAGCTATAGTAATCAGAACAATACAGTGTTGCCATCAAATAAAAACAAGCATGAACCAATGGAATAGACTAGAAACAAATAAGACACATTAGTTTTCAGCTTGTCTTTGATAAGGGTACCAAAAATAGAAAAGTGATAATCTCTGTCTTTTAGTAAATGACACAGGGAAAGAGAAACACCCATATGCAGAAGAATGAAATGGAACTCAGTATACAAAAATCAACTCAGATGGGTCTGGCAAGATGGCTCAGTGAGCAAGGGCACTTGTCACCAAGCCTCTTCTCCTGGGTCAGTCCCCAGGAGACCCACATGGTGGAAGAAGAGAAACAACTCCCACAAGTCCTCCGACATCCTCATGCGTGCAGTGGTGCACGCACACTCACACATGTACACACACACACAAATAAAATAAATTTTAATCAACTCAAATGGATTACAGATTTAAGTGATGTAAAAAGCAAGGGGAAAGCTTCTTGACGTTGTAGCCAGTGACTTTTTGATAAGGCAACCAAAGCAAACATCAGCACATTAAGAAGTTGGTGTACAGTGAAGGACACTGTATGGAGACGGTGTGCTCTTAAATCAGATTCCATGTTCTCCCCTACTCCATCTAACTGTAAAACTAAAACAAGAAAATACGGTGATATTTTTACCCTGGGTGACTTCTTCAGGGTTTGTTATTGCCATAAAGACAAATAAGGGTTTAGAAATTAGTTCTTTAAAGGTAAGTACTAATAGTACACACTTAAAATCCCAGCACTCAGGAGATTGAGGCAGGATTGCTGCAAGTTCAAGGCCAGCCTGGGCTACATGGGGAGACCCTGTCTCTAAAACATCACACAAAGACACAAAGTGAGTTCTTTATATTTTATTTCTGTTATTCAAGGCTTGTGCTTTTAGCAGATTAAAAAAATATATTTAATGGAAACTTCCATTCCTAGTAGAAAATAAATCTAAACACTACTTCAGTGGGAAATAAACTCTGACTTGAATACACGCTCAGTATTTGTTCCAAAGAATACCTTGTCACATCTTTAGTGGCATTATGGGAATGTTCACAAGTAATTACCCTTTCTTCCGTTAAAGTAGAGAAAGAAGGCTGTTGTCTCCCTTAAGAGATACCCGCATGACTGTTGCGTCATGTTGCTCTCTGCAGACAAGCACCAGTTGGTGGAGGCTGGTGATGGGGAGGCACATCTCCATTTCAGTCACTTGTTGCCTCTGGTTAGCAAGCTAGTTTCATGCTACTTTTGAATTGTCAGTAGTTTGTCAGGCTTTGTGATTTTTACTTCTAAAAAAAATTTTTTTTTTTTTTTTTTTTGCTTCCTTATAGATCAGAGGTCCACTATCAAAGCACCAAAGACTCAAGACACAGAAGATGATGAGGGGGCTCAGTGGAATTGCACTGCCTGTACTTTTTTGAATCATCCAGCCTTAATCCGCTGTGAACAGTGCGAGATGCCACGGCATTTCTGAGCCAGAAGGCCTCATGTCTTCCATAAAACGCCAGAAAGTCGTCTATCGTCGGGCGTTTCACTGCTATAGAGGATTTTGTCCAATTGAAGGAATGACAAGATGGTGTTCGGCTAATGTTCAGCATCAGCCCACAGAGCTAATGATACCTCAGTCTAATGTCATGGGCAGTTGAAATTCGTCACATGAATGGTGACCTGCTGAAAGACTGGGTTGCCTACTGCCTGACCTTGTGCAGTGTTACTACATCCCACGATGGACCGTTCTCACTCTGTCAATGCCTCGGTGTGCCCAGCACTTTCCCCCTCGCGTCACTACTGAATTTTGACAGGAGGGAGGAATAGAATGATAGCTGTCTTGTTCTTTTAAAGCTTTCAGTCAAACACTACACACATAAGAGAAAGAACAAGGTTTAACTATTTAAAAAACTCTTTGCTGCCGCATAGTGCCAGCGGATGCGGGAAGAACTTCACAAATCTGTGGTACTCTTGGCCTTGTCTTTGTCTTGAAGACGTCTCTGTGAAGCCAGCATCTAGGGTCTAATGATGAAAAGGAAAGCAGTATGCATTGTCTACAAATCCACAGTGAAACCCCCAATGCTTTTCCTACTGTACAGATCGCTCCAGTCTGCTTTAATGATTTCTTCATTATTTTCTTATATTTCTATATGTATAGTGTAATAACTTTTGTTAACTAACTTTCTTCTTTCCTTTTAGTGAGTAAGCACGATCATGTTCCTTTTTAAGCCTTACCTGAGAAAAGCAATGCCGTAAATAAAAAGCATTAATGAATTGAAACTATGCACAAAAAACTTTCCTCTACTTACTCTGTACTTTGCCCCCATGGGTGCCAATGTTCTGTGAAGACATACAAATGCTGCACAGGAATTGCAGAAAATATTACAGTTATGTCTGTAGGTCTCACTAGAGACTGACTCGGCAGTGGGTGACCAAACACATTGTTTTGTCTTCCACAGAAGCTTAAAGTAGAAAGTATTCTAACCCACTGACAGCTTGTCCACCTCTTGGTGTCCCACAGGAGATTACCATTGGGAAAGTACATTTTCAAAACCAGCAGTGCCAACAGCCCTTTTTTTTTGAAAGAAGTTTAAATGCTTTGCTGTTGGAACAATCCATTTCTACCCTGCCTTGGTGGCAGTATCATGTGTATTTATAAAACATAGTCATCTTTAGGACAACTGAAGAAAAGCTGGAAAAAAAGAAAAAGAAAAACAAGCAAACTTGAACACTGAAGCAACCTCAAACATCTCTTTATTTTGATGATATATTTTTGTAAGGAAAATAAATATTCAGATGATCAGGAATGTATATAACTAAATGGAATCAAGAAAAAGTAACAGTATGCATTTAAAAAGAATTATGAAATTATATCAGTGCTTAGAATGGAGCTAAGGGCAGTGCTGAAGAACAGCAAAAGATGGGAAGTAACGGAGATTGGCGCCCACTGTAAGTGTTTGCAAGTGGCTGTGTTTTAAATAAACAGGATAATTACAGGTGGTCGTTACAGAGTCAGCCTTGGCTTTCAGGCTTGACGTTCTGTGTATGGAAGGAGATATGGCAATCCTAGTTAACTCGACAATAGACCCCACGCTCGTCCATTTGATGCATCTTGTTTTATTTTAAAGTAGGCCTTGTTTTTCAGCTTCCTCTGCAGTTCTATGTGAAGATTGATAAATCAGTTTTTACTTGTTTTATTAATAAAACGTAATTTGGATATCTTGAGTTGATGGTTTTGTGATTTAGCTGGGTAAACTTTGTAACAGATAAGTTATTTATAAAAATTAAAAAAACTTATATTCTAATGTGGATTTTGTGGCTTGTTTTTGGAGTTTTTGGGACAATTTATGTCCCAGTGTAGCATTTAGCTATTAGTCGAAATAAGGAGGGAAAACCACCCTGTTCTTAATCTTCTCATAAGCTCCTGGCTTTCATCTCCTTTCTTGGATTTTGTCAGTTTCTGCAGTAGCTTATAAGTATCTTGGTTTGTTGACGGGTGGGTTTGTTTTTGTGGGCAGACCTTACTGTGTAGAACAAACTAGCCTCAAACTTCCAATCCTGCCTCAGCCTCCCACGTCCTGGGATTACAGGCATGCACCGCCACGTCTGCCTGCCAGGCTGCTTTTTAACTGATGAATGCAACCAGATTTCAACTGAGGCAGAAAATAGACAGGGTTTTGTTTTTTTTTCAGTGTATTCTGCCTGTTGGTTTCTTTTTAGTTTTTGAAAAATTTGGCCCATTATTGAAAACATGTGATTCCTTAAACCCTTTAGGGAGTCAACATTCACAGAGTCCCATGATGCTAGGGTTGAGTATACAGTGGCACTGCACTTGAAGAAAACATAATTTCATTTTTATTTTATGTATATGAGTGAATTACCTGCATGTTTGTAAGTGCACTGTGTGCAGTTCCTTCAGAGGTCAGAAGAGGGCACTGAATCCCCCCTGAACTGGAGTTAAGGAAGGTTGTTGGCCACCATATGGGTGCTGAGAATCGAACATGGGTCCTCTGCAAGAGCAGCCAGTGCTCTTAACAACTGAGGCCTTGGCAGTTGATATAAACTGGACTTTTTGGGAAAAATCTTTAAAACATCAGCTAGAGGTCTTCGAGATGGTTCATGGGGCCCCAGAACCCAGTAGTGGAAACTGACAAAAAGTTGTCCTCTGGCCTCCTCACACAGTGTTTAAAAAAGAAAAAGAAAAAAAAACCTAAATCTGCCAGGCGTGGTGGCACACGCCTTTAGTCCCAGGACTTGGGAAGCAGAGACAGGTGGATCTCTGTTAGTTCAAGGCCAGCCCTGGCCTACACAGTTTAGGCCAGCGGGGGCAATAAAGAGACCCTGTCTTAAAAAGACGTTAAAAAAAAAAAAAATCTACCATGACTAATATTTTTCTTAAAATCACATTTTCACTTTGGGGGGAGTTGTTTTGTATGCCCAGACTGGCCTCAACCTCCCAAGTGCATGGTTACAGGCTGTCTGCCACTACACCCGAGTTAACCCTTTCCTTTCTAAAAAGCGTGTATATAGGTGCAGGTGTAGGTATGCATGGTCTTATATGCCCGCAGAGGTCAGAGGCATTGGGTGCCTCTGGAGCTCAACTAGTTAAAAGCACTTGTGAGCCACCCAACATGGGTGCTGGGAATGAAACTCTGGTCCTCTGCAAGAGCACTGTGTGCTCTTAACTGCAGAGCTTTCTGGTCATTTTTAAATAATCAGCCTGCCACCTAAAATTAATTTTGTTTTGGAGAACTGAAACTAGGCGGAAAATTATATCAACACAACCCAAAACTATAATAGCTTACTAACTTCAAACTGATACCAAGGCCTGACAAACACCAAAATTAACATTTTGTGAAATTTCCTATCCCTATTTAATGCTGATGGAAAATTCTAGTGAGCAGTGAAAGGTTTCAGATGTGAAGAAAGAATATTCAGTCCATGAGATTGAACTTGTTGAATTACTCTAGAAAATAATATTAAATCTTTTGGCACCAAAGACCATCCCAGAATGAATATCTGTACTCTGGGTATTAGCATAGTTTCCTATATTATATACAAAATATATTCTGCAAGTGAACATAACTTTTGGGCCCAGTTTTTACCTCATTTGTATGTGCACATGTGCATGCCACACACAGCACACGTGGAGGTCAGAGAACAACTTAGTCGGTTCTCTACCGTGGGGTCTGGGGCTGGAACTCGCCTGTCGGCTTGCGCTACCAGCACTGTCACCATTGAGCCATCTCAGCGGCAGCCTGAGGCCCATTTTTTGGAAACTACAATTGTATATCCATTTTACTTGAAATGCAGCAAGTCTGCTGCATTTAACTCTTGTTGCTTCTTTCTAGGCAACTGAGAAAAGGGCTTCCAGGGCCTGGAAAGATGACTCCGCATTTCAGAATTTATGCAGAGGACCTGAGTTCAGTTCCCACCACCCACACGGCAGTTTACAATCACAGTTCCAGGGGTGTGATGCCCTCTTCTGGCCTCCACATGCACTGCACACATGGTGCGTTTACATTTTATAAGTCTTTTACAAGAAAAGACGATGTCTAACTTGGCATTTATTAAATTATTTTTCCCCATGTATGAACCTGATTCAGAGGGGCAGGAAGATTAGAATCAACTCACAGGGGTGCTGTGAAGATGAACATCTGAGCCAGCCTTTCCATTGCTAGGAACTATAATACCCTAAAATGGTGGGTCTTGTTACATGAGTTACTTTTCTGTTGCTATGATAAACCACTCTGGCAAAAAAAAAAAAAAAACTTGGGGAAGAAAGAGTTTATTTTATTTCAGCTTATAATTCCCAGGTTTACAGTCCATCATTGAGGGGAGCCAAGGCAGGAACCGGGAGGCAGAAACTGAAACAGAGACCATGGAGGAATGCTGCTTACGGGCTTGCTTCCCCTCGCTTCCTCAGCTACTTCTACAGCCCAGGCCCACCTGCCCAGGGATGGCACCACCTGCAGTGGGCTGGGCCCTCCCACACCAATCAACAATTAAGAAAATACCTGACAGACAAAAGGACCCCCAGAGCTTGCTAGCCACCCAGCTTACTCTAACAAGCCCCTAGCCAGTAAGAGACACTTTCACAAAAAATAAGGGTGGACAGCATTCCTCAGGAGTGACACCCAAAGTTGTCCCATGTCTTCTACATGCACATGCGTGTGTACACGGACATAAAATAATTTCAAAATATTTTAGAATAAGGGATAAAGATTCATGCAAGACAAGTATATTGTCTTTACTACCAACATGAACTCTTTTAGAGGGGCATCTTTTGGGGATGGTCTCCCTGTAGCCCCAGCTGGCCTAGAACTCACTATGTAGACCAGGCTGGGCTTGAACTCACAGATCTGCCTACCTCTGC